AATAGTCTTCTAGGTGAGTAGATATTTGTAATTAGCATAGCTATCCATTGAAAGAAGTATATACCCAGAGGCAACATTTGTGAACTCTTCATGCTGTTCTAGAGGAAACCATAACAAAAATATTATAAAAGGAAGATGGAATCACAAAGCTCACTAGAGGAAGTCTGACCCAGGTCATCCACCTCATTGTATGACATTTTGTTCAAGTCCCAGAACCAGTGGCTTGAACAGCCTATGTGTTATGTATGTAAAAAGGATTATATATGTGAATGAAGACTGTTAACAGAAATCCAATGAAATTTGTTACTTTAGGCTGAACTTACATTAGTTACTGAACTTATCCATCTTAGTCTTGATCCCTAAGTACAGCTGCCCAAAGATGCTCAAGTTTGACCCATAGTTTTTTGTTCTGTAACAATGGCAAGGAATTGAAATGAAAATAGATATTTTATATTAGAATGCACACAATGGAGATGGGCCCCTATAGCTGTGCATTCTCAATTATAAAAAAAACTTACAGTAAAACCTCCTCACAGATCATCTATACATGATGCACAGAGGATAGACTGAGGAGATAAACTTTGATCAACAATCCGGTCCTCAAACAGAATGAGAAAATAACAAATTAACAACTAATTGATATCAGCTTTATTTTTGAAATAGTACAAATTTGAAAAAGTATAAAAAAATCTTACAGTGCTGATAGCTTGTATGAGAATAGGTAATAATCAAAAGCCTTCTGTTCTAAGCAGATGAAGTATAGCACTAACATAGTTGTGCTTTGACATCTCTTGTGTTATCCTTATTCTTTTCTTTAAATTAAATAAACCAATTAACTCCTTTGCATTGCAAGAACAGAATTGTTAAAAATCTAAAGGGATTTTGTATTGGTATTTGGCAAATTTACATCAGAGATTCAACTTTTATATTTGGCAAAATATCTCTGTTGAGATACATTTATTGAACAAAGATTCCCATAAATAAATGAAACATCTGGAAGGTGTCCGATGATTCTTTCTTTTAGCCCAACTTTTCTACAATAAACCCTATTCATTCTTTAAATCCCAAGCAGGTAGAAAACAATTAACTATGTTAGATTTGCTTTTAATTTTGTTTTGTTTTCCTGTTCCCTTGCTTTTCCCTTATGCAATATTTTTATTTGTATACATTAGATAGGTTCACTTTTGACTTAGATGAAGTATGTAAAGCAGACTATGATAAGTTGATTATAAATCTCTTTCTCTCATATACAAACACTCCTAGTTTAGTATTGAACTTGAATTCAATTCCTGACATTTGGCTTCACCATTTAAATGTATGCAACTTCTCACAGCTTTCCTAATTTTTCTAACCCCTTAAAATAATTCAGGGTCCACTTCACTTACCGTAGCAACCCACTTAAGGTCTCACTTTTTGGATTCTTAGGATAGACTGAATCACAAACTAGTCAACCAAATTTTAGTCTAAGGAGTTGTGAGAAACCAGCCAAATGGTCAGTTTATGGTTCAGTCCTTGGGAGAAGGGCGGCATATAAATCGAATAAACCTCAACCTCAGTGTATATGGAAATACCAAAAAAAAGATTGAGTAAATATTTCTGAATTAATAACTATAGGAAGTTAAAACCCACCCCTCTGCCATTTCTTCCAACATAACATAACCATGCTGTGCAGATATAGACATTCTTAGCATTGTGTGTGTTGTATTCCTATGTTGCATTAAGATACACTATATTGCCAAAAGTATTTGCTCACCCATCCAAATAATCAGAATCAGGTGTTCCAATCACTTCCATGGCCACA